GCTGTATGTTCACAAAGGAGCCTTGCCTGTTCAGCAGACCACAGGGAGTATTGCTGCCGTCTGACGGGGCTGCTGCCTGTTGTGTGGGCATCTCCATGGTTCCCAGCTATCTTTTGGCCTACTCTCACTGCCACCACTTCTTCCCAGACCTGTCCTTACTCCAGTTCTCTGGTCCTTTCTTCTCTATCCCCCTGACTCCCACTCCCTTAACCCCCAGCCAGGCAGCAGCTGCCCAGCCTCATCCCAGCAAAATCCTAAAAAGTCTTGAATGCCTTCAGATCCTCATAAGGCATGTAAGTGCTAAGGGCCACCAGTTTTGCACAGGATTAGACCCTTATTTTATTCTTAGACTATGATAATTCTTTTCCAGGAGGGTTCCCTGAGGCACCAAGGTCAGGATGCTTTATGGAGTACATGATCACCTTCCAAAGTCCTCTAGGTTCCTCAGTCAGGAGAGTGCTATTTTATCCCTTGTCTATCTCATGTTCTTTTCTTCTTTTTTTTTTTTTTTTTCACATATGTCCTTGTGACAAAATTAGTCTGTCTGAGGCAGAAGTGGTAGTTTAGCCACTGGGGAAATTCTCAGGTTCTGTGTGGTTTAGTATATCTGGTAAGTGTAATGTGCGTGTCCATGTTAAGAGGTGAGTAGGTCAAAAGACTTATCCTTTTTTGAATATATTATCTCCATTTTTTAACTCTTCAGTGCAGCTAGCCAAAGACCATTCAATGCAGGCATGCAGGGAACTGTGCTCCACACCTCTGCCACATCTCATGCCCGCTCCTGTCCCTCCTGCCCTGCTCCAGCATTGGCATGACAGCCCCCTCTTCCTTCCCACACCTCATCATGGGAAGCAGGAAGGGACCCACAGCTGATCAGGAATAACATCCCCACTTCCCAAACCTGGCTGTTATTTTGGCAACACACCCCTGTCTGCTGGAAGCCCCTGCATCTCCCACTGGAGAAGATGATCTCACCCGGTGCCAGCTCTAACTGGTTATAATTCCACCCATACGCTAAGATCGCAATCACACCCATTTTCACTGTGTCTGCAGGATGTACAGGGAAACACACTTGAACTGTTGAAGATCTGAAAACACAATAAGTGATTTAATAAGAGATTTCACCATAGAACAGCTATTGCTTTGCTGGGTTGGCCTTGCAGAGTAAAAGTAATGGCTCATACTTCTCCCAAGTGTGTATTTATGTCCAAGAGTCATTGCCAGAGATTTCCAGGGAGTTAGAAAAGTATCAGAGAGGCCCTTGTGTCACTTTAAATATCTGCATGTTTCATGGCTGGCTTACTCCTTCCCTGAGACTTCTGTTTGAAAAACCTTTTGCTTTGCTTTCAGTTGTGTTTGTGGGTTTTCTTCAGCCCAGGAGAAGCAGTGGGAGGAATCTGTCTCTGTCTGTCTACATTGTTTTTGTCTCTAAAGCCATTATTTGTAATCTTCCTCCTCCACAAATCCCAAAGAGCCAATACTGTTTAAAACTTACATTGCTGAAGCTCGTGCTGTGTTTCATTTACCTGGAAAACTGTGCCGACAGCATATCCAGTGACTAAGGAGATGGGCACCTACCAAAAGCCAAGCTGAATGCATTAGAGACCAAACTTCAGCAACCTCAGCCAGGCAACTCCACCTCCCGTGTCCCTCTCAGGGATCAGACCAGCCAGGGGATTTCAAATTGCAGGAGTCCTTCAATTATAGGGATGCCAATTTTGTCGTTGTTCATAGCGGCACAAACATTGCAATGGGGAGGAGGGTCACAGTGTGGGATGGGATATCCTGAGATAACTCCTTGGCCCCACAGAAAAATAATGTGAGGTTTTCCACTCACACCAATCACAGCAAGATGGAAATCCATTCATTCACTGGGACTACTCTTGGGTGCATTTTTTACATGAAAGAAAATCTCTCTGACATTTTTATTTCCTTTCCTCTTAAGATTGAGGCCATTCTAATAGGTATCCTGTAGAGACATGAGGCTTTGCTAGGGGAGAGAGGACAATGAGTATCCCAGAATACTCAATGTCATATTATTTGTACAAAGACTTCTCTTTTCCTTGCAGTTTCTACGGTCTCCTATTGTACTCTGTTGTGTTGGTTTTAAGGAGGAAATTTTACATAAAGGAGAGAAAATTATCTAGACTATTTGGGTGTTACCCTTCAAAAAAAAATCAGAACAATTATTTGTGAAAAGGAAAACATGAAAAAAGTGTTTCAAAAGGATCAAAAACAACAATCAGAGAATACATCTAGGCTCTATATTTGCATCTGTCACGAGTCTCATGTTTTTTCTTTACAGCCTCTTCTCTTGCATTTAGAAAATGAAGTAAAAATATCTTCTACTTACCTGAATACATGTACTTAGATGTGATAGCTGGGAGGAGAAAGGATGAAATCCAAACCAGCACAGAGGTTTTTCCAGGAACTGGGGCAAGCTCCCGGCTGTCACAGTAGTCCACCCAGAGCAGAGGGAGGTCCCAGGTCAGGCAGGGTTGTACAGCCCCATCTGATGGGCCCCCACAGCCTGCTCTGTCCTCCGTGCCACCTTTCCTTCTTTTCCTCTGGTCAGTGTTTTCACAGCATTTTTATTTATTTATTGGCCTGTGGCAACTTTTCACAGCACAGTGTTTGCTGTCACGTTTCTTGGCACTCAGTCCTCTAAGCTCTTGGGTGCTATCTTGTCAGAGACTAGTGCAAACTGTCAAACAGCCCATTTTGATCTGTTTGCATCTTGTTCTGTATAGAAGTGTTTGAATGGTGCCAGAGAGCTATCTGATTTCCAAGCTCCCAGTTTATATCCTGTTGTTTAGGTGAACTGGGGATTTAGATGCAGACAGACCTGTTATCTTGGGGAGGGGGGGGAACTGACAGAGGTATTAATATGACATGAATGTGTTTACAAATCCAGTATGAGGTTATGACTTAGCTGTAATTCTCTCCTACTCACGGTAACAAGTTCAGTCCCAGTGATTGAGATGATTTCTGCAATTCCAGCTTTGCCACCAGTACAATTTTTTCCCTTCAATGGCCATCTATTCCCTCTCCGTGCATGCCCAGTCCCATCTGGCCCTTGTGGCTCCCTCCTAGGGCAGAGGGGACCACACTGCAAGGAACAAAGATGGAGCATGTCCCTCACTAACATTGCTCCCCATGATGCTGAGAGGCCCCAGGCAGGAGGTAGGAGCAGAATCTCTGCTGTGGCTAACCCTGCACAGCCCTCCACCTCTTCCTGGTCCCCTTCAGTGGCTTACCAATCATCTCAGCGTGTTAAAATGCAGGGATGGATGCCAGGTTCCCACCAGCTTCCCTCTCCTCCCATTCCTTCTGAGATCGAGAGATGCTTAATGTGTGCAAGAAGGAGCACTTTGGGAAGGATGGGCTTTGATCTCTCTTCTGTAATTGCCTCTTCTCTGAATAGCCCATATCAGTACTTCTCCCTCTCTGTAAAAGTTCTTTGAATCCCTTCAGTGGAAAATGCAAAGGACCTCTCTCTGTTGCCGTCTACCCAGGAGCAATGACACCAGGTCCCCATCAAGCTGTGCAAACCATGAGCTGTTGCTGGAGCTGCTGCAGGCAGAGGCTCTGGCAGGAGCTGCTGTTTGGAAGCAGACATCCAGCCCTGGCACTGGCCTGTGCTGGTGGCCCCTGCCCACCAGCACGGTCCCCACCTGCCTGACCACCACAGTGGCTTTTTGTTGTCCAGGTTTGCAGGCTTATGGCCCACACAGCAAATTAGTAGAGAAGTACTCAACGCATCATCCAATACCCGCATTTTCCAAAATATTCAGACTGCTTCAGGTCACGCTGTCTGTTCCAGCCTTGGAAGCTCCCAGTGTTGATTCTTTGCTCCCAAAAGCACTAATGAGCAGGGCAAGGCAGAGCTCACTTGGTTACATTTATCCTGTGCTGGAAAATAAACCAACCACTTTATGTCTCTTATTTTCTTGCTAAGACTAACCCTTCCCTGGTTTCAGGTACAAGGAATGAGAAATTGACAGGAATCATGAAAAGGTTGAACTACACTAAATGGTTAAAAAGAGACAGGAATTTTCCTGATTAAAAATAGCTCTCATGTACACACCCACACCTGACCTTGCAGCCCTGATCTGCATTTAGAGCCAAGGGAGATCTCACCCATGTAGGCAGCAAACTCCAATATGTGATTCAGATGTCCAAAACTGGCCATGTGAATGACACAAAGGTCATGCAGTCATCCCAGGTGACCAAAAAACATCGTGACTGTAGCTGTCTAAAATTAAATAAGATGCATTCTACTTGAAGATATCCAAAATATTGCCATTAGGACACTGACTATCTCTTGAAGAGATTGTTGCACCCGTACGGGGTAAGAATCTTGCAGACAGACTCAAGGTGGGGAGCAAGAGTTTTCTGTGTCAGTCTGTGATGTCTACAGGATCATTATTAGCTTGGACATAATAAACTCTCTGTGACGATGAAAGGTATGTTTTGTAGTTTCTTATCCCCCATTTGTACCCGCTACAGTCCAGAGTTCCTGTCGTAGCAAAGGCCCCAGCAAGTAATAGCAGATAAATAAGCCGGACCATGGAAAGCTCACCTGGAGGAACTCATGGCAAAAGCACTTTGCTCTTTAGCACCTTTTAAAATCCAGTTATCCCATTAAAGCCTTTCTGAAAGATTTCACTCAGCAGCTGTCACACTGCTGTCGATACCACACGCTACAATCTAATGGCTTTCCTTAGGCTAATGAAAAGTTTGCCTGCAAGGTGGAAAAAGATCTATAGGAACTGCTGAGTTGTGTCTCTCTATGGTACTCTGACTCGTAACACTTAACCGATGGCACGTGCAGTGCACAATGCCATCGTGTTTGCTTAAGGATGGCTCGTCCGTCACAATGACCCACCACACGTTAGCAGCCTCTGAGGGTTTTGAGCACCAGATGTTACTGGTGTCCTTCTCTCCTGCCAGGGGTTAGCCACGCTGATGCTCGTCAGCCCGGAAAATCTCCCAGCTTCAGTGTGAACTGGATTGTGGGGAATGCCGACCTGGAGGTTATCAATGCCACAACGGGGAAGAGGACCTGTGGCAGTCCCTCACGGCTCTGCAAGCACATGTTCTTCGCTCGGTGGGCAAAGCTTCATGGCAAGGTAGGTCTGATGAACTGATGGGACATTGCCACCAGCCCATTGTCCTATGTCCCTCATAGGCAACTTACATCCTGGGAGAGGATAGAGGTTACCAGTAGCCAAGATCTTGCAAGGTCAGCTTGTGCCACCGTGTGCCAGAGCAGCTCATTTCAGGCTGCACATTCACATTTTCCTTTAATCTGTCTTTCAGCATCTCTCCTTTTTAGAGAGAAGGCAAACAGTGTTGTTTGCTCACCAAGACTGTTCTTTGAGGGTGCTTTTTCCTACAGGATGCTATTTCTCTGGCTTGTGAGCGTTGGGCTTTCACCCGTCTGTTTGCTCTAAGGCATTTTCCAGACTTTGGTTTCTTTTGTGTAATGTCACAGACTCACTGCTGGTTCAGCACTGTTAAGACTGTGGCAGGACAGAGGAGGTCATTTGTCTAGTCCTTCTGCAAAGCATCTCCCAAGCATCATCTCCCAAGGCAGCTCCTGGAAGGCAACTCTGGTGTTCCAGCAGAGCACAGGGTTTTCCCACACTGGCTCAAATCCTGATGCCTGGTTTCTGCCCTGTCCTGGGCAAGTTTCACAACATCTCTTACTATAACACATTAAAGAGAGAAAAGGGGAGGTGGGGGGACGACCCTCCTCCTTCTGTCTCTCCGCTTCCTGGGATAAACTGAGCACACTGAGTACATTCTTTAAAGAACCCCAGAAAGGAATTTTTCCCCTTTTTTTCCTAAAAATTATCTTAACTGAGAAGTAGGGTTTTGCCTTTGTAAAACACACCAAGATTTGCTGCTGCTTATGCCCACTCCAAGGGAAAGTTCTTTACCCTGCTCCTCTTCACAGTGGCACAAAACCATGTCACAGGCATTTATTGCTTCCCTGGTTTTTTTTGTTGTTAAACCGAAAACAAACACACAAAGCACAGTGATAGTTTGTTTGTTGCTTATGAAATGTAGACGGGAAGATTATGCAGCTACTGAAGCCTCCTGTTTCTTTTGGCTCATCAGTTGATTTTTTTTATTATTATTATTATTTCATTTTTCTCCCCTTCCCTGATTTTTGTTCTGCAGCTGAGCACACGAGTCGTGAGCCATGGAGACATGCCATCAGTGTACAGCGAGGCAAAGCTGGTGGCTCAGACGTACCAGTCTGTCAAGCAGCAGCTGTTTAAAGCGTTTCAGAAAGCCGGTCTGGGCACCTGGGTGAAGAAACCCCCAGAGCAAGATCAGTTCCTACTAACTGTATAAATCACTCGACACCTTTGCTACATGACCGGATCAAATCAGCTGGAGAGAAGGGTAGGCAGGACACGTGAGCCGAGAGAACTGAAGCAGTTTGAGATTTAACAGCAACCTCCATGGGAATATTTGCTTTTAATTCTGTATTGGAAATGCGTAAATAGAAATGTGTCTGATGCACTGAACTCGGCTTTAGAAAACCGCTTTTTCATGATCCCTTCCCAAGAATGTACCTGCCCCAGTTATAATGCCACCTCCACAGGGATTCATTCTGCTTTTCATTGTTTTTTTGCTGTTTGTTATTAGTGATTTGAGGCGTTAGCAGGCCACCTGTCTGATCCAAAATAGAGTTTGTTTTCCCTCACATAATCAATGCAAGAGTCATCACTGAATAACGGAAAATAGTGAGCAAAAGATGGAAGTACCCCAGACACACGGCATGACAGCAGGTCTCAGAGCATCCATAATCATCCACAAAAAAGGCGTCTAACCTCTATGCAAAAATCATCCTGTTAGCTGCCTAAATCTGTGAGAAAGAATTTGGACCTCAAAGATATGCAGCATTTTTAAACTCCATTTTCCCCTGCTGGCTCAGAGCACAAAGCCGGGCTTTGGATTCTCTTGGTTTTTAGACTTATTCCCTCTGACACGTTTGGACAAACCACTTCCCACCAAATCTTCAAATCTGGCCACAAGTTTTGCACACTGCAAATTTTAATTATCCAGGCCCAGTTCATCACCCATGACCTTTAGGCACCAGCCAGAATGCAGATGCTCTTCAAAAGGGCAATTCAACTCTGTGCTGCCTGTGGAGGTGCACAGCTCTGCAGGGGCCAGCAGTGAAGACTGGTGTGAGGATGGAGGCAGCTCTGGAACTTCAGGTAGTTGCCTAAAATCAGGCAGGCTGGAGACAGGACTCAGAGCCTCAGATTTCAAAATTTATGAGGATCCACAGCTCTAAATTAAGTGTGTTTGAGCTCAGGATGCTCCATACATCTGCAAAATTGCTGGATTGGGTGACCACAACAAGACAACCCAAACTAGAGAGCACATTTAATGCTTTCCTCTTTACTGCCTCAGTTTGTCCATCTGTAAAATGGGGATAATGATTATTACCTGCTTCACATGTAAGGAACTCGGCAGGAACAAATTGCTCTGGTCATATGCAATGGTGTAAGCCAGATTCTGTTGCTCTTGCAGTGAGTTTTACCTCCCCATATAGTCCAATTGACAGAAGTGCAGCAGATGCAGCTACAGGCTTGGGTAAGGTCTTAATGTAAGAGCTTTCAGATTCTAGCTCTATGTAAATGCCAAGTATTATTATTATTAAAGTTTGTCTGCAGTTTGAAAAGCAGGTGGGGTTTTTCAGTTCATAGACAAGTAGCACCCAACAGTTGAATATTTTCTTTGTAACTGTGGCTGGGTCTGATATAATCACATCTTGAAACCATCCCAAACTTCATCAGAATGCAGAAGATACAGTCATGGGAGAACGGAGCTTTGATAGTCCCACTGCAGAACCAACCTTCAAACACCCGGTGTATTTCTTTTAGGTTTTGGTTTTTTAAATGACAGGATTTGCGGGTATATAACTACTGTTTTCTTTCCTTTTTATTCCTGTGATTCTCTTTAAATCTGTATATAACATGCTGCTACTGATTTGTGATAATTGTCTTGGTATTTTCTCAGAATTGTCAAGCTGAGTTACTTTTCAAACAACACAAGGCTCATATTTTTCCATGTAATTTCCTTTACACGGGAAACTGTTCCTATCAATAAAGATAGATGCTCTTTGTATAGGGTTTATCATGTTTGGAGAGCCATATACAGTAAATACATTGTTTATTGATGCCCACAATAGAATAGCTACAGTATTTTGATGAGATTTTATTTTTAGATTATAAACTACAAGATGTATCTATAGTGTCTTGTATAAAAACAATTGTGATAAACTAGAATTTTTAAATTAGATAAAAAAAGCTCTCCCAGAAACCTTTTCAGTGAAATAATACATTCCATATTAACTACCAAAAATATTTAAAAAAATATCCTTAGAGTAGAAATAGTATTAAAAAACAAAAACAAAAAAAAAAAACTAAGACGTTTCAATAATGGAAGCATTTTGTGGTAACCACTTTGTCAATACTTTGATCACTTTGTCAGCTCTTCTGATTAACATTCAGAATATTTTTGACACCTTCTGGAGCTTCCTGATACCCCACAGTATCCTGCCCTCTAACACAGCTGTCACTGGTGCAAACTTCCAGTGTAACCTGGGCAGCAAAGGTGCCCAGAGGGGCAGCGAGTGGGTGGGGGATCAAGCCCATGACTGGAGGTGTGGGAGAAGCTGTGGGTGACACCGGCAGTGGCGGTCCAAGGGGCTCCAGCTGCTCCCACCAAGGGAGAGAAACCAGAGGGCAACCAGAGAGAAGGACAAGGTTTCTCATGCAGAGATCCATAAGGCAGGAGGAAGCAGTGTCTTCTACTTTTTCTCTCTAACTTAGTCTTTATCTAGCACACAAGAGACCTCAAGTTTCCTCCTTACATCTCCCTGCCTTCATCCACCTTCCTCCAGCCCTGGCATGATGTCAGCCCAACTAATGGCGTAAAGCTCCACAGGCCAGTGTTGCAGCTACTGTGACAACAATGCACCATTCCTGGTTATTTTAAGGACAAAAAGAAAAGTGTGGTGGAATTGAATTATCCTTTGTTGCAAGAAATACATAAATGCAATCTTGGATTCAGCTGCCAGAAGGAGTTTGGTAGGGGAAACCAAACTGAGTCCCCACTGCAAGTGGGCATCAGCTGATCTCATTGAAGGCAATGGAGTTGCACCTGCTTGCACTGGGGTTGAATACAACCTTAAATGTCTATTTCTCATTACCTGCAGCAATGGAGTGTGATGGGACCACATCCCAGAAGCACACAGAACCTACAGGCAGCATTTCCTGAAGCAAAGGAAAACTTGCTCAGTAGTAATTCTTTAGTGAAGATTCTGTACATAACACGCATGAGTGAATGGCAATACTGTACTAATGGATGTACATTTGTAATATTTGTAAAAAAAAAAGAAACAAAAAAGACAACAAAAGAAATAAATCTGAATTTACATATGTGAATTTGCTGCTAAGTTCTGTAAATTGCACTTCAGTGATACCTGATAAGTGAATGTTTCTGTTAAGTGAATAAAATGCCAAGTAAAATTGTTCTTTCACTGTTTGTTGACCTTTTTTCACTGTGCCTTAGCAATCAGTTTGAATGTGCTCCAAAATGCCAGTATGTATTTTTGCACACACCTATCATAGATCTATAGGCAACATGTTCCTGTTTAGTTTGGATTTGATGCATCCTAGGAATCACACACTTGTAGTGAGAGATGGATGTGCCCGCTGCTGTGGAAGAAGCCCTACAAGGACACAGTCTTATCCTGGAAGAAGAGTGAACCAGGTCCATCTAATTTGATCTTTCCAGGTTACTCTCAGAGACCTTTCTTAAAAAGAAAAAATAAATCAGATATGGTTTTGCAAACTCATACTGCATGGGACTTACTAAATAAAGCTGTTTAAGAAAACTGAAGTGATGAACAAAAGGCCTGAAGTCAGTGCATCTCTGCAGATGCCTTCCTCTTTGGGTGGGGTGGGTGGCCTTTGTTTATCCTCTCTTTAAACTACCAGTGTTCAGCTACAGCAGACCAAAGTCACACTGAGCCCAAATGACACCATCCACGCAAGGCTTTAACATGCATTAGTGTATAAATATCACCTGGTGCCTTGAGATGATTTCCCTCAGCCAGTCCTCACAGGGTTCACTGGTGTTACCAAAGCCTCCAGAGCCTTTCAGAAGCTCCTAAAGTTGATATATGCTAACAGTAAAAACTGTCCAGAAAGAGTTTTTCCTGTCCCCCTCCTTGTAAAGATTTGGTTCCAGCCCAACAGCTGACAGGGAGTCCCACCAACTCTCTGGCCCCACAGCTCTTTCCTTGCTCATGTTGAAGAGAAAGGAGCCATGAAATCATGCCATGGGTTTCATTCCCCAGAACAGCAGGGCAGGGGCAATGCATAGCTTTATTTTCAAACTAAGACTTTGCTGCAGTTACATTCCTTTACCTTGGATCTATGTCATTAGGTGTTTAGGTGGGATAAGGAGGAGGGGGGGGAGAAGAAAGCTTTTGCAGGGTATTTTGTGGAAAAAAATTGTGTGGAAAAAAGTCACTGTGAGTTCACCCAATTCCTCCACCCACAGTGGATTTTTGCCTTGAGTAATAAAAGCAGCAGATTCTCAGTATTTATAAATCTCAAAGTGTATTTGCACACAGAAATTTTACTGCTTTAAGTGGAGACAGGTAAAGCAAACACCATTTGAGTCTCTCCTCACCAGGGAGGGTGTCTCTCCTTCACCACAGCCTCAGATACAGCACTTACTTCCCTAACAGTAAAAATGGTCATGACAGCATAAAACTGCCCTAAAGAGAGAGAAGTTCCACCAGTAGGAAGGCTGTTTGTGCCACCATCCACCCTCAAAGTGATGAGCTTATCGTTGTTTTGCCGTCAAATAAAGTATTAATGCCCGAATTCCCAACTTGGCAAAAGCCATGTGTAACACCAGCTGTCCCCTCGGCGAGGCTCTGAGATGTGCTGAGACCAGCCCCGGTGCCGAGGCAGGGACCAAGCACAGCTCAGGCCATGAAGGGCAAATGGTGGAGGTGAGGAGGTCCCTACAGGGGCTTCCCAGCAGCCCCTCAGCCTTCTCCTGGGCAGTTTGGCCAGGGCTGAGTTTGCAGCAGGCGGTTTCCAGCCCGTTTTCTCCTCCAAAAGTAGCTGCTACTGCCCGTGACACGATTTGGCTGCCGAAAACAACTACAAAGCAGTCATTAGGCTAAATTGTATGGATGGATTCTGTGTTTAATCTCATTAAGTTTAAAGGCTAAATACCAGAACTGCATTTAAAACTTTACAGGCGTACACCCCGGCGTCGTCAGGCACAGTTATTTCTTTTCCAACTGTATATTAGAAAAACAACAACATAAAACATGAACAAGCTGATATATCGGCTAATAGAGGGCTTCAGAGAAGTGCCTGTTTCTCAAATAAAATAAATAAGTCCTTCTGCTGCAGTTAAACCTTGATAGCCATGCTTGTGTGTTGAAGAATGAAACAGCAATTTAAGAGCTTTTTAAGCCTTCTGATTCATTACCGTTGTGCCGACTTTGCAGCCCTGCAACCTGATTACTGTGGCTGGTTTCAGCTTGATCCTGTGGCTACACCAGTTCAGCTGGAAATCTGGGTGAAGTCAGAGAAAATCTGAGACTTTTAAAGAGTAGTGACAGTCTGTTTGGGCGCAAAAAAAAGCCCAAAACAAAAGACACCCAAACCAACAGGAAGACATACAACCATATGCATGCGTACAGACGTGTGGCTTCTTAGTACTCCAAGGCCTCCTGAGTAAATAATGTGGCCTTGGAGAGAGGGGATTAATAATCATTGCTTTTTCAGCAATGAAATAGTTCTGCTTAAATGCTTCATTCAGTCTGGTTTTCCTGGTAATTAAATCCTCTATTAGAGAATTTTATGTTCTATTTTATCAACTTCTTTTGCAATACAGAATTACTTCCACTAGACCATTAATGTTTTCTTCTGCTGTGGAGAGGAAAAGGTCCTGTTCATCTCCTCTGGCCCTGAACAGATGCCTTCACAGACAATACTGCCATGAAATGATCAAAGCCAAGAAGAGTCAGCTGCTTCCTTTCCACCCAATGTTACCAAAATAACCTCCCCCAAAGAAAAATAAAGATATGAAGAATGGTACATACTGGTGGGTCTGATCAATTCCTCTGATGGACTAACTGGTGCCTACCTCTCCTCCTGGGACCTCAAAGCCATGCTCAGGCTGTGCTTCACATACCCACCAGCGAGGTGGTTTAGCTGCAGTACTCTTCCCTCCCAGCATCACCAGCCTAGCTACACCCAGCCCTGCCTTCCCCAGCATATTCTGTGCTACAGATTGTTTTTATTAATTAATTAGATGTTAAAAGGTAAATTAAAGCGTTTAGTCACTTAAAAGTGTTAAATCTGTAATAAGTAATATTTTTACTGTGGATTCTAAAGTAAATTGTTTTTTTTTCTAAAGCAAATTGCTTGTTCACATCCTGGTCTCAACGGTAAAAGGAAGGATTTTCAGAAGTAACAACAGATGCCAGCGTCAACTTGACACCTCAGGCTCCTAAAATCCTGACCATCACACAGAACAGCGCAACTTGGGTCCTAAATCTCCAATTTCAGTCAGAGATGAGGTGATGTTCAAAAAGGTCTTGTTAACTTACCTGTTATTGTCAACACCTAACCCCCACATTGTTGGGTACCAAACCCCTGCTCAGCCTCCAGCATTAAATATCCACTAGAGCCTACATGTCTTTTCTGGGCATGCCTTGTCTTGGCTGCTTGATGTGTGGCCTGGTGCTGATTCCCACCATGTTTTGACCTGTCCAGATTCATGAACTATACCTACACATCCTACCTGTGGTCCTCTCAAAGCCTCTACAAGACCATATGCCAGTGAAATGCCTTCACTGAGTAACTCAACTCATAACCCCCTCAGGCTGCTCTCTAGAGGGACAAGCAAGTATCATAATCACCAGAAAGTCAGGCAATCTGGAAGAAAGTTATGGAGAGGATGTGTCTCATATTTATATTGTTTCATACAGAAGAAGCTAACTTATTCATTATAATTTAATAGCATTTTGGCATGGGAAAGAACAAGAAAAACATGGTAACATAGCTGGTTTGGGGGTACTTACCCAGGAAAGGAGCATTGTCTAGGTTTACGGTGTCGAGTGAGGAAAAGACAAGGAAGTGAAGACCCTCAAATCAAGTTCAGGATAGAGGAGCTCCTGCCCTCCAGGCAGCTAGTTCACAACACATGAAAAACCTCCTTTGTTCAAGGCCCATCTTCACCTAAACCACTTCATCCACCCAGAGGTTAGGTGTCTGGTTTGAATCCATTTTCTAAGCCTCCTGGATAGAGAAAAGTAGCTCCATAAAAAGATTCATGTCACTCAACACAGCATCTAAGAGATGTGGAGAACTTTTCCTCTCAAGAGTTCAACCTATCTCCACTGATGGGAGAGGGAGTCAAGGATTATCTGGTCCAAGCTTTCTTGGCAAAAGCACAGTCTATGCAGGATGGCCCAGCACCCTGTCCAGCTGAATCTTAAAAGTGTCCAACGATAGGGAATTCACAGCTTCCCTGAGGAGATTATTCCAATGGCTGATACGTGAAACAGTCTTTCAAAGTTAAGTGCGAACATCTCCAAATTCTGGAAAGAAGGCCATAAATTCCAACTGTAAGTTTTGGTGGCTGACTAAATTAACATATATTCTACATATTTAGAAATTTGGTGAGGGAGTTTATTCTTAACATAACTTTGCTGCCATTTAAATAATTGAAAAAGTCTCTACTGGCAACAAGATTAGGTTGATATCAAATTCATATTTCAATTTGAGAGCTAAGAGAACTGATTTCACATGAACCTTTTTTTTTGCACCAAAACTTGGTTCCTAGACCTGACACACCTGTACTCACTGGAAAACTGAAACCATCCATCACTGTCATCTGAGTCTTCGCATTAGAATTTCCTTGTGGTGGCTCAGCATTTCCCAGATCTATTTTCTTCATATCTGACCCAGTAACTCCTTGACCCTCTAACAAGTGGAAACACATTTAAGGAACCTTTCTTATTATTTGAAATATCTGCTGTACAAGTTCAGCTCTGTTTTCTGTGTGTGTGACTTTCCTAAAATATCCTTTTGTCTTCTTTTTTGGTTACTTAAGGGGTGAGGCAGAGATCAGAAGTAGCTAATCTGTCCATCTATTTGTCTCATTGCCTACCGGTCTCTCTTGAAGAACTGTGGCAAAACTGAAGACTCAGTCATTTTGAAAATAAACCCTTTTTCACTCAAGGGGTGATGTGGACATCACTCTATCCCAAATATGTCAGTGAAATGTACAAAGAAATAGTTTTGTCTTACTACACTACGGGATTGTCCAACTAAGGTAAAATTCTGCCACCTTAATGTAAATCCATTGACTTCCAAGGACTCAGACTAGTGTAACTGAGCAGAATTCTGTCTATGAAGGGAATTGGGTGGTTAAGGTCATATGAAAAAGGTACATGAAAACACTTCATCATTCCCTCTCTGTGTATTTTCAGAGTGCAGC